CTCCAAGTCGAGATGATCTGGATCAGAAGTAGCATCAAACCCAACTGCCATCTCTAGATGAAACATCCATGTCTTCTCCGCACTCGAGGCCACCACCGTGTCCCCGTGCTTGAGACCACCAAAGGTCGTCGCTCTCCCGCCTCCATGCCCTGCCGCCGCCGGCGAGTTACCGATGAGCCGCGTCCGCCGTCTCCGCGTGCAGGTAGATTGAAGGCCATAGCGATGACGCGACGCGGGAGGACGGCGGCGGCTGCTCAGCACTCTAGCGTGTGGCGGGACTTGCAGTTAAGGGTGGGAATGGATGGATCCGGAAGACGGCTTGCCGGAGGCTGCGTTCCCGGCGATGGACGGCGGTGGCGACGCCATTCTATACGCGATGGAGAAGAGAAATTAGATGGAACACGACAAGCAGCGCGAGATAATAGGAGCAGCGTGGGCGGATTGGAAGGAACCTGGTGACACTCGTCGCCGGTCGTCGGAGGCGCGGGAGAGGTGACGGATTTGCTTGAAATCATGGATGAGCGTAGGAGGGATGGGTGAGGAATGGATAGGCGTCCAGGGGCGAGAAAGGTGTTCGGGAGCTTCCCCTCGACGCCGAACGACCGAGCTGGGATGACGTGGCGACTTAACGTGTGCCGATATGTCTGCATGCGATCCAACGACAACAAACTTATTCGGGGCGAGATGCAAAAACACAGCACATTCGGTGTTCATAGATTCCGTTCTTTTTTGCGTGGAATCACATGGCGTGATGCTTCTTCTTCCTTTTTGGCCAGGTATTGGGCGAGGATACATATGGACAGTCATGGCCTATCCGTATACAGTTTTTTCTCTTTTCTTTTGAAGGGAGGATAGCCGATACTCTCTCTGTTCCATGAGAAAAAAAAGTAAAATTGACAAAATTGACCTTTGGATGAAAGTATTTCACAAAGTGTACCGTCGGTGAAAGAAATTTACCTAGCTGACCCTTTGTGCAGCACACGACAGAGCAGTGGGCACTGCATGCCTGACCACCATGGCACCGTGGGGCCAGGTCCGGCCCCACACCTGGCAGTGCAGCGCCTAGCCGACAGGCGCCACACCTATCCTTTAGGGGCTGCACATTCAATTGTCAAAATGAATAAAGTAGTTATGTACTGATTGTTGTCTGTTCGGGAAATTTTAAATGTGGTAAAGATATAATGAGGAGATCAGCAGCTTATAGAACATGGGAAAATTAACTAGCCAAAGACCATATGATTGTCCAAAGCACTTTATAGTGTGAGCTTGTGTCATGGATGACGTTATCCCATGATTCTTCGTATGTTTTATCCCATGGCAATAAAATATGGACACTTGCTGTATGTAGGTACCAATCTAATATCAGTGACAGATCAGTCTTCAGGATGACTAATTAGAAGCCAGTGTGAATAAATAGTGATTTAAGATTCAAGATTCCTCCAACTCCAAGCAACAAAACTGAAACAGAGCGGATGCATACCCTCCAGCTTCATGGCCTAAGATCCTCAGGAAGCATCGAACCTACTGCAACAAAACGAGAACAGACCAGAACAACAACTAGCAGACGGCAGCAAAAACGATGTCGCATTTCAGGTGCATGACTTTAATTACAACGCACCGATGTTCCCCCGCTCTCATTTTGGAGTCCATTTTATCAAAAGTTGGATCATAGATTGACAGCGTCAGCAACCAACCACAACAGCCAAGCATGATTCTTTACAATTGGCACAAGAGTTCAGCTTGCCGTCAACACACGGTTCGCCTGTAGCAGATTGAGGTGATATATAGGTTCTTCACCCATTTTTCCTGGAAATTTTATTCAATGTTAGGTCCCGACATATTAATGAAGATATTACAACACACGAGGACAGATTATGTACGCCACTGTGAGCTAGCAAAGGAAATGCACAACGTACCTTCACATAGTTGCTAATCAACAAGCCAGCTTCATTGCATTTTTTCTATATGCTGATGCAGCTCTGAATCAGCTATACTGAAGTGGTATCTGCAGAAGGCAGGAACAACATCTTTATGGAACAGGATCGATAACAATTGAAATAGGCACGCTCCCAATCTCCCAATCTCAAGAACAAGCAAGCAGAGGATAGGCAGACAAACAGGAGCTACTTGCTTAAATCATAATAAGTCAAAACAAAACCCTTTCATCACTAACAACGAGCACAAATGCTTTAGTTACAGAAAAACATAATAGTATAGTTCAGATAGCTGCTTTCACCAGGATATCAGGTAAAATTTAGGCATGACTACCTTGGATGACATTAAAAATTGGAGTTCACACCAAGATATCGCAAGTTCGCAACAACGATAAGTAACTGGAACTCCTGTCTTTTTAAAGAAAATAAATTAGAGCTAAATAGTACTCATATAACCCAGCTATTTAGAGCCATCTGACGCTTACAGTCATCTAATCCTTGATCTGGAGTATGAAGAGCCGATGATGACTATGTGCAGTGGCGGACCTAGCCCAATGGGTCAGGATGGGCCAACAGTGCAATTGTACATATAATTTTATTTTTTCTTTTCTTTTTTAGCTTTTTCCCTATGTTATAAAGCCCATTTTTCAATCTCAGGGTGGGCCGTGGCCCACCCTGTCCACCCTCTACCTCCGCCACTGACCATGTGTCGTGTAGGCGTGGAGAGTGGCGGGGAGCTTATCGGACTTGAAGCACCAGAACTAGTTAATTGCACGAAGCCACCACATTGAGGGCTAGGTTTGCAGAAAACCAACTTCACGATTTTTGACTAAATCTATGGTAAAGTTTCTGCATAAGACACTGATAGGCGGCGGCTTAGGGCGTTTTGAGCATGTTTATGACAGGTGGGTCCCGCTTTGTGCTGATGTGGCCACCAGAAAAGACCACTTTTACAGGGCAAGGGAAGGAAGAAATCATGTCTGAGCAAGCAAAAGAAAATTTGGAGAATATGTCAGCATTTTCAAATTCAAAATGAGTTACCGCTGCTTTGTGGGCCACCTAGGATTATAAACCAAATTTCACCGAGTTGTTGGGCTCCCCAACCGAACATTTTTCATAGGTTATTCGTCTTCTTCCAGATTTAAAGCCATTCCTCGACGCTTATTTCCAACCTACAATTTGCACAACAGAAGCGTGGGCAACTTAAATTGACAAGCACAGATACATGTTGTGGATAAAGCAGTGCAGTCCTCTAGAGCTCCATAGATCCTGATGGGTCTCGAAGCAGGTCCTTTCGATTAAATCATCAAAGAGAGAAACACGTTTTTTGTACTTTGGTTCTTTGCCAGATTTCATACAAGTGACAGTCTCAAGAAAATGCTTGAATGGAGCTGGACAGAATCTACATAACATATCTGGAGAAGTCTCCATTTTCCTCTTACAGACAAGAAAACTTATGTTACCTCCCTGCAGTAATAAGCCATCAATAATAAAGTAACCAAATTCATGAGAAAAACTTCTTTTCTTGAGCGGATCCAGGCTGACCAAGCAAAAGGTTTCAGGTTTTACATCACCATGCACAAAGCTGGCCACAATAGGAGGATCAGCAACTGTTAACATGGAGGGATAAAAAAGAACGGGAAATGCATCTCAAGAACATCAAATGGCTTGAAAGTAACCTTTGGAGCGAATCTTCGCAATAATTAATATGGCCTAACGGCAATACAAGCAACCATTTGAAATGACATCCTGTCACTGTCAGGGGTGTTGATACTTTCAGCAAGGAGAAAGGAGAACAAAGCAGAGGGAGTGAAAAGATTGATAAGATACTTACTCCTGTCCGAGTGAATGCCAAACATCCCAGGGGCAGAGGGGCTAGGACCAAGCAGGTCCATTACCTGAAATTTGGAATGATAGATCAATGAAAAGATCATAATGAGTTAAGATGCTTAATCCTGGAGTGAACTCCTCAAAATTCAAGTTGAAGCATGATCCTCTGCTGGTCAGGATCAGAACAAACAACAAAGTCAAAATATATTGACAGTCTTGATCAATGGATTGAGTCCTTGGTCTAACAGGATTTACAGCTAAACTTTTGATCATTATCATGTTATAGAAGACAGGAGTTGGATAGCGCCCTATTTTTTCTGAGTAAATAAAATAAAATATTAGTGGCTTCTTCTTTGGCATGCTCAAGACAGAAGCAGCCTGGTGTCTACAACCTGCAGGTTGCGAGATAGATTCAGTTCCGTCAGTGATCATGTGGCGACACCACACTGGCCACCTTAGCACACTAACTTTCTATGTACAAAAATTCAGGCTTGGCATAAGTCTAAACAACTACTGATCTTTTGCTACAAAGGAAGCTGTGCACAGCACCAGTTCTCTGTGGTTAGCTGAAGGCATTCCTCCAGCAGCTTATGCATGTAATGCTGAAGTTACTGGTTGTCTGATGTGAGCCATCTAAATGTTTGAAACAAGTTTAGTTTGCTGAGCTCAAAAGTATGGAACTGAAATGCAGAGACATATGCAATATTTTTTTTCCTCCCTTTTGTGAGGACATATGCTGTCAAATTATACAGTATACGAGGAACTTGACCAAATTCATGAAAATGATGTGTTCCAGATGATTTATATATCGCAAATAAGATATGAAGGGCATGTGTTTGCCCTGGTAAGAGCAGCCCGCGTTCCTCAACATGAAAATTCCCAGCAGTACCCTTACACAGATGTTAAATGAAAACCTTCATTCTACTTTTTATTGATCCACTTATAAGGAAAAGATTTACTGTATGTACAAAGGTCAGATTAGAGGTACTCACTCTGTTCCACCAATGCAGACTACATACGGAGCAAAATACGTGAATCTACACTCTAAAATACGTCTACATACATCCGTATGTAGTCCGTATTGAAATCTCTATAAAAGGTCTTATATTTAGAAACGGAGGGAGTATATATCATGGAAGGAGAAGGGCTAGCGGCCTATACAAAACATCAAGGATGTAAAAAGTAGGAAGATGCAGATAATTTTGTTTCATCAGTATACTGCCACATCATATGTAAATATCAGAAACAGAAAACCAGTAACAATTTTTGTTTAATAAGCGTTTACATTATTTGAGGTACATATCTTAATGCTGTCTGATACACAGCAACTGACGCATAAGACCAGGACCAGAATCACGGCAGACACCACACCCAGCAGTAGGCCAAGACCAGAATCACGGCAACCACTACACCCACCACAGAAACAGAATCATAGCAAAGAGCAACACCCGTCATTCGTCAAACACCCATCATTTGTGCTGAGGCTCAAGCAAGTCGCTTGCCGACTCCCTGGATGCAACGGCGGAGACAATCCACAACACTATGCGGACATACTGCCTCAATCAGACTGCATCTGCTTCCATCCGCGATATTGTACCCCTGAATCTGGTCATCACAATCGTGTCCCAGGTAGATGGTATCAGCAGCGAGAGAGGGGTAAGCAGCCTCAGCCGATACAGAAATTGAGCGGCACATGCCCATGAACACGGCGCGCCCGTTGAAGCCCTTGGCCTGGGTCAGGACCCCAGCTTCCAAATCCACTCTGTAAGCATCATACCTCATGTCATACTCACTGTCCCGGCTTAGCGCTCGGTGCACCAGCATCAACTCCCCGCCGTTGTCCACCAGGTGAAGGCTGTGCGTCATCAGGGAGAAATAAATGAGTCGCTCCGGTCAGCGACCAACTGGAGCCGGGGTGGCTGCTGATCCGAGCCGATCGTCAGCACCATGACGCCCCTGTAGTTGGCGCAGTAGAAGCGCCCCGCAAAAGGCAAAACCGAATTTATGTATTCCTTGTCGACCATTGTGTCGACCATGGTCCAACTCTCATCGCCGGGCTTAGCGACAAAAAGCCCCCTGGGATCAAAGAAATTGACTGCCACCATGGAGGTGTCGGCAAGAAGACCCACGCCAGACACACTGAATGTTTTCCCTATCTTGAAGCCACATTGCCTGGACCGATGCTGCCCTGATCTCAGGAGCGCGGTCATCGGCGGAAGGTTGGTGAGCTGCCGCGTGAGTGGGTTAAGCAGGCGGACGACCAGGGTGGTCTCGAGGAGCAGGAGGAGGAGGCCTTCTGGGGTGAGCGAGAGCAACGTGTGCTCCGCGAGCTCCGGGAGGTCCATACGTATGCACTCGCCTGTAGACACATTGAGGAAGCGATGGCGGCGGGGCCCGGCAAGCGCCTTGTCAAGCATGATCCACTTGCGGGGGAGGAAGCGGCCGTCCAGGCCGCCGGCGCACGGGTCCGGCGAGCACCGCCGCCACAGCTGGCACACGGCGCGGAACCGGATATAGTCGGCCACGTCGCTGGCGAGGGCAAGCTCGGCGATCAGGCCGGCTGGCCCGTCCCCGATGTTCGCCCAGTCACGGACGGGATCCACGTCGATGGCCACCGAGTATTTTCGCTTGCGTCCAGCTGATTGGGCGTGGGATCGGATGTTGGAGGAAGGGCAGGGGCGGCGCGGATCGGGGAGGGCCCTCGGTCGGTTAGCCGGCCGCCGGGAGGAGATCTGGGCTCCGGAGGTCCCCGCCATCACTGCTTGTCCTCTGACCGCGCCGCCGGCAGAAACCGACGGCGTTAGGGCTAGACCGGCGTGGGGGGACGCAGATCAGATCAGAAGCGGCGGCGGCAGCCTGGATGGGAGTGGGATTTCCCTTTTCTTTCCCCTTTTGTGTAGATGATGAGTGGATAGGCTGGCGGCGGTGGATGCTGAAGCAGAGAGCGACGGCGGCAGTGTGTGCGGAGCAGAGATTGGCGGCGGAGGCGGTGTGGGTCGGTACTCGTGCGGGAGAGGTGTACGGGAGCCCGCGATTCCGCGATGCAATGATGCTTCTTCTTTTGGGATTTTTGGGATTAGAGCATCTCCCCTCGCGTTTTCAACAGGTCCCTTAAGGCGACTTTTTTCACGTCGATGCCAAAAAAACCTCAGTCGTGCTTTCAAGACGTCAAAATTCGCCGGTCGGTCCGTTTTTTGGCCCGGCGATTCCAAGCCGAACCTAGCGCATTGGAGGCGTTTGAGGGCTCCAGCGGAAGGAAAAACCACGTCTGGACCACCACTGTCAGGCGAAAACGCATCTTGCACGTCCAGATCCCCCCCGGCGCGCGCACGCCCTCCCGCCGTCTTGCCGATCCTGGCGTTGCCGACCCACTCACCGCCGCTAGATAGGTCATTCCCCCGCCGAAAGAGAGGGTTCCGCAGCGGCATCCTCCACCCTGTTTCTGCGCGAGCTTTCTGGCTGGAATACTGGCGGCTGCGCGCCTACCACGCCCGCCAGATGTTCAGCGATTTGTCTGCTCGAGATGGACTCGGACGATGAGGAGGCGCTCGCGGCGCTGCTGGAGGAGGAAGCCGATGCCTATGCCTAGAATGAAGAGCATCTCATGGTCATCGCCGCCCTGGCCAGCCTGCTCGAGAGCAATGCAAAGTCATGGCGAGGTGGCTCGGCGTCGGGCCGGCTGAAGGCAAAGCAGAGGCATCAACTGGAAGGCTATTGCTTGCTCTACTCCGACTACTTAGTCGACGCTCCATGATACATCCATTTTGCATCATGTTTACCTACTGTTATTTATAATATTTTTATGCATAATAATGCTTTATGAAGTAATTCTAATGTCTTTTCTCTCATAATATGCAAGGTTTACACAAAGAGGAAGAATGCCGACAGCTGGAATTCTGGACCTGAAAAAGCTACGTCAGAGTCACCTATTCTGAACATCTCCAAATGAGCTGAAAATTTACGGAGGATTGTTTCGGAATATATGAAAAATAATGGAGCAAATAACTACCGATGGAAGCCCACCAGGTGGGCACAACCCACCTAGAGCGCCCTGGTGGGTTGTGCCCTCCTCGGCCCACCTCCGGTGCCCCCCTTCTGGTATATAAGTCATTTTGACCTAGAAAAAAAATAAGAGGAGGACTTTCGGGACGAAGCATCGTCTTCTCGAGGCGGAACTTGGGCAGGAGCACTTTTGTCCTCCGGTGGAGCGATTCCGCCGGGGGAAGTTCCCTCCCAGAGGGGGAAATCATCATCATCGTCATCACCAATAACCCTCTCATCTTTGGGAAATCTCCATCAACATCTTCAACAACACCATCTCCTCACAAACCATAGTTCATCTCCTGTGTTCAATCTTTGTACCAGAACATCAGATTGGTCTCTGCGGATGACTAGCAGTGTTGATTACATCTTGTAGTTGATTACTATATGGTTCATTTGGTGGAAGATTATATGTTCAGATCCATTATGCTATTTAATACCCCTCTGATCTTGGGCATGATTATCATTTGTGAGTACTTATATTTGTTCTTGAGGTCACTGGAGAAATCTTGTTGCAAGTAATCATGTGAATCTGATATATGTTTGATATTTTCATGATATGTATGTTGTGATTCCCTTAGTGGTGTCATGCGAACGTCGACTACATGGCACTTCACCATATTTGGGTCTAAGGGAAGGCAATGTAGAGTAGTTATTAGATGATGGTTTGCTAGAGTGACAGAAGTTTAAACCCTAGTTTATGCGCTACTTTATAAGGGACCGATTTGGATCCAAAAGTTTAATGGTATGCTTAGATTTTATCTTAATACTTTTCTTGTAGTTGTGGATGCTTGCAAGGGGGTTAATCATAAGTAGGAGATTTTTTCAAGTAAGAACAGCACCTAAGCACTGATCCACCCACATATCAAATTATCAAAGTAGTGAACACGAATCGAACCAACATGGTGAAGTGACTAGATGAAATTCTCGTGTACCCTCAAGAACGCTTTGCCTATTATAAGAAACCGTTTTGGCCTGTCCTTTGCCACAAAAGGATTGGGCTACCTTGCTGAACTTTACTTACTGTTACCGTTACTTTCTCATTACAAATTAGCTTGCTACC